TAATGGAGAAAGGACTAGAGCATTAGGACAAGTTAAAAGAGCTCAAATTGCCATTCAAAACCTATTAATTCCTATCTCTTTACAAGTTATCGACTCACAAGATGAAACTTTACTTTTAGGAATGGATTGGTTTAGAAAAACTCATGCTAGCCTTGATTTCGGAACCAACCAAATTAGGTTAAAATATTTAGCAAAAACAATTACAGTTCCTGTAACTTCTAGTGCAAATGAAGTCCCTGTTAGTTATCCTACTACTCAAGATCAACAGGATGACGAACTAGAACAAGTTCTGGACTATTATGAAGAAGAGGAACTTAGCGAAATTAAAGCGTATATGGCAAACAGTCAAGAAGAATATAAGGAGGAAACTGACCTTCTACCCCTCGATTACAACCCCTAGAATGAAGAAAAACATGTCTATTTAACTCTAGCATTTAAAGAAAAATTTGAGGCTAATCCAGCAGTATTTCTTGCTGAAACTTCTAAAGAAAATATTTGGAAAATTAAGGATGACCTTCAAGTTGGACCTCTTGATGACAAACAGCAAATGTTCTTTCAAAAATTAATTGATGATTATGAAGACATATGTGCCTTAAGTCAAACAAAAATTGGACGAACTAGCTTAGTAAAACATAACATTTTGACCAATAATCATGATCTGGTTACCACTGAAGCTTATAAATGCAAAGATCCAGTAAAGCTTAATTTTCTCAAGAATGAAATCAAACATATGAAAGAAAATGGAATTATCAGGAAGTCATTAAGCCCCTGAGCTTCTCCTGTAGTTATAGTAGCAAAGAAAACTGAAGATAAACAAATCTGTATTGATTATAGAAAGCTAAATTCTATTTCTAAAAGTGATGCATATCCTCTACCGAGAATTGACGACTTACTAGAGAAATTTAGAGGAGCAAATTGGTTTTCTACACTTGACCTTGCTAGTGGATATTGGCAGGTAGAAATGAGCGAAAAAGATAAAGAAAAAACTGCTTTTATTTCACAGTTTGGTCTATACGAATTCAATGTTATGCCTTTTGGACTAAAGAATGCATCAGCAACCTTCCAAAGGTTAATGAACCATATTCTTCAAGAGTTCTTGTATGAATTTGTTGCTGTCTATTTGGACGATATTATTATTAACTCAACAACTTATGAGAGTCATATTCAACATTTGAGAAAAGTATTCCAAGCGATTAAGCAAGCGAATCTAATGATTAAGCTAAAAAAATGTCATTTTTGCCTACCTAATATAACGTACTTAGGACATGTAGTTGGAAGAAATGGATTACAACCCGACCCTGTAAAAATTGATAAAGTTAAAAGCTTTCCTATTCCAGTTGACCTAACAAGTTTAAGATCTGCGTTAGGATTATTCTCATATTATCGACGATTTGTTTCAGGATTCTTAAAAATTGCCAAACCTTTAACTCAACTGTTGAAAAAGGAAGAACCGTTTTTATGGACAGATGCTCAACAAAAAGCTTTTGATATCCTAAAGGAGAAATTAATTACTGCACCCATTTTGCAGTACCTAAATTTTAATAAACCA